CATCATGACAAGGCCAGTGCGTCAGTCTGGGCTGTAGGCTTTGCCAACATAACTGGCTTCCCTGAGGTCTAGTGTGCTACTGACTGTACACACATTGCGTTGAGTGTGCCATATCTCAATATGACTGAGTTCATCAATGGAAGGGGGTTTCATTCCATTGATGTACAAGTGTCTGTGATCATCGGCTTCACATCCAAGATCTAACAGACCCTTTCGCCCACCTTGTCCATTCTGATCAGGTCTCCTAAACTCAACTGGACTCATTTGCCAGCATTTGGCCCATATCCCTCTCAACCTTTTCTATTCATGTGCCATCAAATATCTTTTAAATCTTGTAATTGTTCTTATCTCTACCACTTCCTCTGGCAGTTCATTCCATATATACACCACCCTCTGTGAGAAAAAGTTGCCCCTCAGGTTCTTTTTAAATCTTTCCCCTCTCACCTTTAAACCTATACCCTCTCGTTTTCCACTTCCCTAACCTGGGAAAAAGACCTTTGGCAATTCACCTTATCAATGCTCCTCATGATTTTATAACCTCTATAATGTCACTCAGCTTCCTACACTCCAGGGGAAAAAAGGTCCCAGCCTACTCAGCCTCTCCTTATAACAAACTCTCCAGTCTCTGTAACATTCCTGTAAATCTTTTTTGCACCCTTTCCAGTTTAAAAACATCTTTTTTATAGCAGGGTGACCAGAATTTTTTTTTTTTATTCATTCACGGGATGAGAGCATTGCTGGGTAGGCAGCATTTATTGCCCATTCCTAATTACCCAGAGGGCAGTGAAGAGTCAACCACATTGCTGTGGATCTGGAGTCACATGTACGCCAGACCAGGTAAGGATGGCAGTTTACTTCCCTAAAGGACATTAGTGAACCAGATGGGTTTTTCCAACAATCGACAATGGATTTACAGTCATCATTAGACTCTTAATTCCAGATATTTATTGAATTCAAATTCCACCATCTGTCATGGCAGGATTTGAACCCAGGTCCCCAGAACATTATCTGGGTCTCTGGATTAATAGCAGAGCGATAATACCACTTGGCCATTGCCTCCCCCAGGGGAGTACTCCAAATATGTCCTTATCAATTTCTTTTCAGCTGTAAAATCAAATCCCAACTCTTGTAGTCCAAGCTCTGAGTGATGAAGGCAAGCGTCCCAAATACCTTCTTTACCATCCTGTCTGCCTGTGATGCCACTTTCAAGGAACGATATACCTGCACCCTAGGTCTCTCTGTTTGACAACGCTCCCCAGGACCCTATCATTAACTGTGCAAGTCCTGCCGTGGTTTGTCTTACCAAAATGCAACAACTCACATTTGTCTAAATTAAACTGCATCTGCCATTCCTTGGCCCACTGGCCTGGTTGATCAACGTCCCGTTTTACTCTTAGATTACCTTTCTCACTGAAAACTGTGCCACCAATTCTGGTGTCATCTGCAAACTTACTAACCATGCCTCGTATATTCTCATCCAAATAGTTTATATAAGTTATGAACAATAGTGGACCGAGCACTGATCCTTGAAGTATACCGCCGGTCAAAGGCCTCCAGACTGAACAACAACTTTGTACCACCAGGCTCTGTTTCCTACCATCAAGCCAATTTTGCATCCAGTTAGCTAGCTCTTCCTGAATCTCATGGGATCTAACCTTACTAACTAATCCACGACGTGGAATCTTGTCGAAGGCCTTATCATTGTCCATGTAGACACTGCTGTGTCTTCATCTATTTTCTTGGTCACCTCTTCAAAAAAACCCAGTCAAGTTTGTGAGACATGATTTCCATGCACAAAGCCATGCTGTGTATCCATAATCAGTCCCTGTCTTTCCAAATTCATGTAGACCCTGTGTCTTGGAATTCCCTCCAACATCTTACCCATCATTGACGTCTGGCTCACTGGTCTGTAGTTCCCTGGCTTTTCCTTGCAGCTTTTCATAAATAATGGCACAACATTAGCCATTTGCCCAGTCTTCCAGAACCTCACTCATGGCTACTAATGAAACAGATATCTCTGCTAGGGACTACGCAATGTCTTCCCTAGCTTCCCACAATGCCCTGGGATACACTTGATTAGGTCCCAGGAATTTATCTACCTTTTTCTTTTAAGACCTCCAGCACCTCCTCTTCTGTCATGTGGACTCTTTTCAAGATATCACTATTTATTTCCCTGAGTTCCCTAGCTTCCATGTCTTTCTTCACAGTGAATACTGACATGAAGTAATCATTCAGGATCTCATCCATCTCCTGAGGTTCCATACATAGAAGGTCTCATTGGTCTTAAGGCACCCTATTCTCTCCCTAGTTACTCTTTTGCCCTTTATTAATTGTAGAATTTTTTTGTATTTTGCGTAACCTTATCTGCCAAAGCTATCTCATATCCCCATTTTGCCCTACTGATTTCGCACTCAAGGGACTCCTATATTGCCTGTAATTGACACCCCTGCCCTATCCATCTGAGCTGATCTGCAGTGATCATTCATTGACTAAATTTCTTGTTGCTTGAAAAGCAAGCAATGCTTATTCATTCCCAAAAGAAAATGTATTTCTTTGTTCTTCATTTCTGCTATTGTTCAATATAAGTTAACGTTTTCAGTCATTTGAAAGCTTTCCAGCATGTGATGCGCCCATATTGGACAATGAGAAGATGCTCTTGCAATGCTGGGCATTAACAAACGAGTACAGAGACAGACCTGTAAGATGGTATGGCTGTTTGTGTATGGGTATCCAATGTAACTTGATTCTTGTAGCTGCAGTTATAATGGCAGTCAGTCAGGTGATGATATAAGATAGGAATTAATTTACAATTGGGAGCTTGTATTTGCATTGAAGTGTCACCTGGTCCAAGTGCCCTTGGAATCATTTATTTGTCATCCCTCTCCCACTGTGCACTGTGAAGTGCAGCTTCTGGTTGGCAGCACTTGACTTGGTACATGACCGGACTTAACATAAGGTGCTGGCAGTGAGAGTCCTGGGAGGTCACATCAGTAAAAAGTACTTCCACTGTTGGTGAGTGCTTGAAAGTATGAGAACGGTGCCATAGAGGCATAATGTGTATAGTAAGATGAGTTGTGGAGATGACCCAGTAGAGCTCACAAAATGAAATTTTCCATCAAATTCACTGAAATTGATGCTTAGCCAATTTTTGATGAAGTTTAGCCCATGGCTTTTGGTGAACTTCAAAAGAATAGTAAAGTCATATCTTTCTACTTCGGTGCCTATGGCAAAGAATAATCATCTAAGGTCCGAAGATCAGTCATGTTGAAAAGAACCGACATGGTCAGTCTGTTGGCTTAGTGTAACTTATGAAAAGGAATGATTCAATCTTGGTAACAGGTCACTAGCTTGCTTTTATTTAAGTTCAGTTTTGAAAAATCTTTCTTGGTTCGACACAGAGATACAATCAGCTGAAATTCGCAGTGGCTTAAGCCAAGGATATTTGCTTAGAGTGGGTGGATTGCTGTTTATTTAGAGCTCGTTGTTTGTACTTTTTGAGGTGGAGTGACCAACCTACAACTTCACTGTCATTAAGCCATTAAATTCCAGTGGGTTCTTCTTGGATTGCTTCTCCAGTTTGATTTCGTGGGCCTGAAATTGTGGATAGTGCTGTTGCTTCACTGGCAGACAAAGGCTAAATCAGAGCATTCCATCTGTTCAACCACCATCTTGAGCAATGCAGAATTAATGGCGACTTTCAAGTAAAGTTATCTTTCGTCTGTGAGGCTCCAATTTATGCAGCTAAATTTAGAGATTCTTACTTTATAGTGTATGCTTTAGTCTTAATTGTCACTTTTGATTACATTTTGCATTTTAAAAATTTATGAAAATCGAAGTTATTTGTTATGTGAGTTTCTGCTCAAATATTACTGTTTTGACATATTTTCCAGCTGAAATTTCAATTATGGATAACATTTCTAAATAAATTCTTCTAAAGTTTCATTTAACATCATAACATTTACCATAACATATGTGTTCAGTTTCTGTCCCGTCTGACTTTGTGCCCTCTCCAAGTTCTTCTGCTTCCTTGGCCCCAATCCCACTAATCTGCTAACTACCTAAATTCCCTAACTACCTAAATCACCATGCCAATTGATTTTGTAAGTAATTCCCTCATCGCCAGGCTTTTTTCCCTTTTTAAAATTACTGTAATTACTCCTTTCTCCACTTCTGTCCTTGCTAAAGTATCTCCAACCATCTTTTTTCTCTTCCAAGCCCTTGAATGTGTGTTGTATCCTAAATTCATGGCCATCTTTCATGCAACACCATATCTTGCCTTTTTAGGTAATGCTATTCAAAGTCACAAACAACATCATATGTGACTGTGGTGCACAATCTCTCAGCATCTTTCTCAACATTTTTATAGCAGATGGTATGGTCACCATCCTCTAACTCTTCCATCTTAGAAACAACAATTTTTACCTAGCCATTTTAGCCATCCACCACCTGCAGAAACTATAGGTGTTCCACATGGTTATGTCCCAGGTTCCTTATTATTCACCATCTTGATCAATGACGTTATCGTAAGATCAGCAGTAAGCTTGTTCCCCAATGATCACACAGTTCAATGTCATAAACAACTCAGTTATTGAAGCAGTCTGTGCCTAATGCAATTGTAACTAGACAATTTTGAGTTAACAGATGGCAAGTGACATTTGTGCCAACACATTCTGGGCAATGACTATCTCCAGCAAGGGAGAATCTGACTTTCTCCTCTAGACATTTGATGGCTTTACCATGAGTGAATCTCTCAACATCAATATCCTGAGCAAATAATTTCACCAGAAACTTGTTTGAATCAGCCAAGTAAACACTTAGCAGAATATTATAGCAACCTGAATGATGTGGACTATGGCAAGAAATGTGGGAGAATTATGCAAGATGTTCAGCAATGTTGAGAAGAACTTGCTGCATCTTCTAAGTTCCAGGTGTCTCATTGGGCAGTAGCGAGTTGCCAATTAAAAGGGATTATTTCTTGTTAATGACCTTATTAATTCCAGATCTCTCACCTGAATGTGCAGCTTTATATCAACCCACCCACCATGAGCAAACAAGACACCAAGAATTCTCAAAAAAGCAGTCAGTGCAGGTACTTAGCAACTTCATCTCGCTACTTTCTCCAGAGGACTTGCATGTTGGTAATCAGGCGCTAACATCTCGGGCATCACAATAGCCATGGACATTGATGCTGAACATGTGCCAGCCTCTAAGATCCCTCATGGCATATTTCCAATCCACTTACAGCAAGCTTCTTCACCTCAATGCTGCACCTCTGGGTGCAATGTCAACCATCATTGTAACGCTGCAACAAGGACACTTTGCTTTTAGGGGAAATTATTCTATTAAGTTCATGGCAAGAATAATCTGTAAATCATGTATGTTGGCATACGATTTAAAAATGAGTAAATACTTTACTTTGAGATAAATATGCACAGAACCTGTTTAAGTATAAATAATCCAATTAAAAACTAATGAGATAAAATACAATTATGTGCTGATATGTTCCTATCATATTCTAATTGCTTCAAATGAGTTGTTGACCTGTTTTAGAATAAATTGGTCAATTTGAATAAACTGATGGTCAAAATCATTTCATAAAAATAAGTTGACATTAATATTTCACAACACCTATGAAGTCTGCCTTTTGGTCCAGTTCAACAAAATCCCAAGAAGGATAATCTGACACTTACCCCACCATTCCACCATTTATAAAATGAAAATTAAAACAGATTGAAAAGCAACAATGATCTAATCTTGAAAGATTTCCAGAAGAGATTGTGAATACTAGATTACACAGATTGTGCTGACATTGATTCAGTCTGCTAATTACTGGCTCAGTGATCAGGCAAGTTAGTCTTCCAGAACCTATACTCATGTCCAGTATGAACATGGTACATGAACAGTCCTTCATCAAGAAATGTTTCTCCACCAGGTTATTCATTAATGCAACTTGCCTTTTGATTCGATAAGTTTAGAATCCTCTCTGCAACATCCTTATAACATACACTGATAATTTCATAATCTTTCCATAACTTTCATTGTGGTTATAGCAAAGGCCATAACATCCTGTCACAATTTTAGAAGACTTAATTTGAGTCTGAAATGACATAAATACATGTTCTATCTCACAAGCCCATCCAGAATATCTCAATATATTTAGCAGTCAGTTAAATATTCTTGAAAAGTAATCACTGTTGTAACGGCAGGCCTGCAAGGTCAGTCAAATATCAAGCTATAATATCCAGAAAGTCTGTTTTAGAGATATTTCTTTAAAGATATGTTGCCCTGGAATCCAGCAGAACTCCCATTCTTTTCTTTTAAGCCCTCTTGAGAGGGCAAACGCAGCTTCCTCAGTTTAATATTTTGCATGAAGGCTGGCATCTCCAAAGGTACAGCACTTCTTCAGCACCGTATAGAGCTGTCAGTCTAGATTTCAAGTGTTTGGTGAGGCTTTTGACTCCACAACCTAATAATTGATCATATGGAATCAGATTATTGCAATCTGCAACTTGTTAAAAATAAAAATCAAAGACTGCAGTGGTCGGACCTTTTAATGTCAGAATTGTAATATCTAATTATCTGTTTCTAATCTTTGTGTATCATTAGAACTCCATATTTATAGTCGACTTGGTTATTTTTAAACAAAAATGTGCTGTTAAACAATAAAATCCTTAAGGTTGCATTGACATAGGCGGTATGACTAACGCTGAGGTTATAGCATACTTCTGGAGACAGAGTCAGATTGCAGAGTGAACCTAGCTGAGGCTCCTTTAGCATTGGTGTAAATTGAAACTATTTACAGTTGTTGTATATTTGGCCTACACTTGTAACATTAAAGAACATTGAAAGTTGAAGAATGAAATTATTTTACAGGTTTTTAATTGCTTCAATGAGCCTTTTATCTTTGGTGTTGTGCTATATCCAGTCAGCTGGACCTCTGTTGCTCAGCAATATGATATTACCTTCTGAAAATGGCGCTTCCTGTGGTTAGGAAACAGTTTCAGTACTTCACTGTCTTCTGAGTATGTGTGACAAGGATTTTCTTGGTAAATTACTTTTTGAACCATCACATCATAACAGGGGGCAGTCACAAGTAGGTCAATCTTGTAAAGATTGCAGCTAATTAATGGTTTCTTTATAAAAATAGCATCACCCTTCACAATTATGTGACAATTGCACTTCTTTCCCTCTCCACTATATTAGTGTGATCCAGTGATGCTGGCAGCTTCGTTTCACATCAGGATGGGTTCAGTAGTTAAAAATTTGAAAATAACCATTTCAAGAATGATCCTTGATTTTCTTCATACCACAAATTATTTCTATGCCACATCTGAACTTGCAGTTTGAAGGATAACTTGTTACAGAGCTTTAAAATTATGAAAGAATTTTATAAAATAAATGGACTAAAGCATATGTGCAGTCTGTCTTTAGGAACAGGGTGAAGTCCCAGTGGATACAAAGAGCAATAATCATGGATTGATTACTTACCAAGGTAGAATCTGTTGATCTCAATCTGGCAACTCGCCCTAAGTAGCAAGCTATGGAGACCAAAGTATTTTGTATGTCTCGTAGGTGTGCTGTATGTTGCCTGACCTGGAGTGATATAGGTGAAAATGCAGTACTCTTTGTTAGCATTTCTAGCAAAATGATTTACATTAAAGACACACAAGAATGTTGGGTGTCAAAAAGCTTATTTTAATTATCTGGACAAATTGTGTTTATGCTTTATTGAAAATATGTTGAGTGTCACAGAATAGGAGAAGGCCATTCAGCCCACTGTGCTTTTGCAACCTTTTAAAATTTAAGTAAATGCTCTATTATTTTTTTTTAAAGATTTTGTTATGATCCCTGTGGAGATCAACAAACCAAAAGAAAACAAATTTACCAAATAATCCCAACTTTCAAACAAATCAAACCAAAATCAATAAAATGAAACAGGATTCACAGGCAAGTCACAGTCCATATATATTACATAATAAATAGCTGCTATAACAAAGCTGGATCTCAGGTTTGTTATGAATGCTGTCAGCATGAATGGCTCCAGTTTATGATGTAAAATCCTTCAAAGATCTGATCTTCCTCTGGTAAAATTCCAGCTGCCTTCCTTCATGGATTTTGCCACCAATTTTCATCAAATAATAGCTCCCACTCAAGAATTTATTGAAAAAGAGTCTTTTTTATTAAGTTATTCAGCAAAATGGTCGATTTTATTTAAGTTTTATATGTTTGAGATATATATTTTTATTTATTTCCATTTTAACATTTTCTGTAAGTAATGAAAGGCACTTTATATATAAAATGTTGTTGAAACATTTTTTAGGCAAATGTTATTAAGGGCATATATGAGGTACACAGTAAGATGGCCAGTAGATTTAGCAAAGTTATTACACAGCGGGATCAGTCAGATAGCTGGGTGACTGTCGGGAAAGGTAAGAAGGTAGTTCAAAAGTCTCCGGTGGCTATTCTTGTATCAAATAGATATTCAGTTTTTGGAACTGTAGAAGAGGATAGTCTCTCTGAGGAAAATGGAAGAGCCGGTCAGTTATTGGACACTTGGAATGATTCTTATGTTAGGCAGCGTTTGACAAGATTTAATAGAATTATTATTATAGGACACTGTCCTGGCAAGGGCATAGACAGGAGATTCTGTGGCAGTGAGCGTAAATACAGGATGATTTGTTGTTTTCCTGGTGCTAGGATTAAGGATGTCTCTAAACGTTTCGAGCATGTTATTAAAGATGAGATTGAGAAGCCAGAAATTATTGTACACATTGGTAGGAATGACATTTTAGGGAAAAGAATAAAGCAGTACAGAGTGAATTGAAGAGGATACATAGGAGATTTTAAAAGAACCTTGAAACTAGTAATTTCTGGTTTACTCCCAATGCCAGACACAAACGAGGGAAGGAACAAAAGGTTAAAAGAGATAAATCAATGGCTGAAGAGCTGGTGTATTGTTCAGGGATTCAGGTTTTTGGACAATTGGAATGTCTTTTGGGATAGAAAAGACCTGTTCGAAAATGATGGGTCTAACCTAAACCGAAAAGGGACCGATATCTTAGCAGGAAGATTTGCCCATTCCATTAAGGGAAACTTTATACTGATATAGAGGGGAGTGGAGGAATTCTAACTAGCAGTGTAAATGAAAGAATTGATGGGGAATGCTCTGAATGTGAGGAGAGCATGTCAATTAGAAAAGAAAGACGAGATAGTCAGAGTATGTAGTAACTCTGAAGAACTAAATTGCATTTATTTCAATGTAAGTCATCTTACAGGTAAGGCTGATGAACTCAGAGCATGTATAAGAACATGAGATTGGGGTGTGATAGCTACTATAGAAACTTGGCTGAGAGACAAGACTGGTAGCTCAATGGTTTTAGATGCTATGGGAATGATAGAAAAGGAGGCAAGAAAGGAGGGAGGGTGGCATTTTTGATTAAGGAATACATTACTGCTGTAACTAGAGAAGATATTTCTGAAAAAATGTTCAGTGAAAATATATGGGTAGAAATTACAAATAAGAAAGGAAATATCACTTGGATGGGATTGTACTACAGGCCCCCCCAATAGTAAGAGGGAAATTGAGAAACAAATATGGAGGGAGATCTCAGATACATGTTAGCATAATAAGGTTGTAATAACGGAGCTTTTAATTTTCCAAACATTGACTGTGGCTACCATAGTGTTAAAGGTTTGGATAGTGAAGAATTTGTCAAATGTGTTCAAGAAAATTTTTTTGATCAACATGTGGATGCTCCTACTGGAGTAGGAACAAAACTATACCTTCTTTTGGGCAATAAGGCAATGTGGGTGACTGAAGTCGGGGAACACTTTGTGTCTAGCGATCATAATTCTATTAGTTTCAAAATGGCTATGGAAAAAAAAGCCTTCCATAAAAGTTAAAGTTTTTAATTGGAGTATGACAAATTGTAATGATATGAGACAAGAACTTCCAAAAGTTGATTGGAGTAGATCGTTTGCAGATAAAAAGATGTCTGACAAGTGGGAGGCATTCAGGAGTGTAATGATGAGAGTTCAGAGGCATTTTGTTCCCATTAGAATGAAGGGTAAGGCTGATAAGATTAAGGAACAATGGATGAATAAAGACATTGAGGTTCTCACCAAGAATAAAATAGAATCTTATTTAAGATATAGAGAACTTGGTTCAATTCAACCTCTTAATCAGTATAAAGCGTGCAGGAGCATTCTTAAGAGAGAAATCAGGAAGGCAAACAGGGGATATGAGATAGCATTGGCAGATAAGGTTAAGGATAATACAAAGATTTTTTTACAAATGCATTAAAAACAAGAGGGTAACTAGAGAGAGGGTAGGGCTCCTTAAAGATCAAGTTTGTCTTTTGTGTTGAACCCCAGGAGATGGGAGAGATACTGAATGAATATTTCGTGTTAGTTTTTACTGTGGAGAAGGAAATAGAGTCAAGAGAATGCCAAGAAATAAACTTTGATGTTTTAAAAACGGATCACGTTACAGAAGAGGAAGTTCGGGAGGCCTTAGAGAATATAAAGTTGGATAAATCTACTGGGCCTGACCTAAAGTGAGCCAGAATATTGTG